GGGAACTAGCCGTCTGATGTAAGGGCTAGCGGGGTCCCAGAAGTAAAGCTCCAGTAGCTGTTTAGCGGCTTATTGTACGCCGAGAAGGCCAACTGGTGATATAAGCCAGTGTGGTGGTCTCACATTATAATAAAGAATCAAATATAGCTATTCAACTAATATATCTACACTAATATGTCCCACAATATGTAGGCAGTTACTGAGAGCCGTAGGCGAAAAGCTGTAAAAGGTTACAGTCTTAATTGGAGCTCACATCGGTGAAAAGTCGCCTGATCATTAAACTAGCCACCTAAGGTCCTACTTGCTTAGGGGCAGACGAATTTCATGACATAACGACTAGATATGCTCGTAAATTTTGTTTTCACTTTTCATCACCGAAGCAAAATAGGTATCTCGGTTGAGAAGCTCTCACTAAATTAATCGTATCTTTTTTCTAGAGATCATTTAGGTGACTTCTAAGACAGGGGCGAACGTGTAAGGTCGGGAAGTAAAAGGCGGGGTCAGCGACATTGCCGAAACAGAGCGGTAATAGAGAACAACATGGAAACTACATTCATCCGGCGCTACAGCCATTGCTCGTTGTCATGCTCCAAGGCTGCTGCCAGCGGCGGCGGCGGCGGCGGCGACGGCGGCGGCGGCGGCGCTGGTGTCAGTGTAGCCAACCGGTCAGAGTGAGAACAACTGCCTCTTCTGCTGCAATCGCGTGCGTTCGTTGGCACAGTATGTGGCACTAACCGAATGTAGCAGCGGCAGCGACTCAAGGGTACCGGCACGACCACTAGAGGCGTCACGCCATCATGGTACCGCACCACGAGACGAACTGTACCTGAAGGCGCTAGCCAACAAGGCTCATGCATGGCATAAGCTAAATGTACATAGCACAGCCTCAGGCGTCAACAGAGTGGGTTTGTTGTCAAGTGAAAGACACGGTTAGAGAGGGACGGCCATAAGCCAGCGAAAGCTATACGAGTGGCGGATATATATGGGTGTATGTATGTATGTGTACGCTCATACATGGTCAGGAAAAGACACGTTTGAAATTTTCAAGAATTTTTCTTTTTCTCTTCAAACGTACAGTTAGTTTTAGCTTTCCTGGCTGGCTGGCTGGCTGGCTGGCTGGCCGGCAAGAAATACACGTGGCAGCGGGTACCGGAGAGCGAGCAGCTAGAGCTAGTCAGTCGCATGGCGATCCGTGGTATTAGGCTATTATATATCGTGGTACTGATCGGACCACAGAGCGGTGACAGTAAGTATCAGAGCTAGCAACAACAGCAGCAGCAGCAGCAACAACAGCGATCTCGAAATGGCTGGCATATGTAGTCGGCAGCTTTGCAGACGAGGAAGGGGGGGGGGCGGTGGCGAAAAAGACGCGGGGGTCAAAACCGGTTTGCGCCAAAGACACCGCGCTCGCCGGCGGCGGCAGCGTCGCCAAAGTCGAGGTGATGGTGATGCCGGTCGTCCACCCACTTTGCTGGGACAGAACCATTGGCATCGCGGCTGCCGCTGCCAGCGCGCTGAACAACGAACAACAGCAGCAGCACTTCGGTCTCCGCCCGTTCCATCGTTGCAACGACTCGTTTTCGCGACCAGCCCCAGCTAGGAACCGAGCCAGCAGCAGTCGCACATTGCTAACTGTGTCGCCTCTCTACTCGTTCCAAGCGAGACAGTTGCTGCGTTTGATTCCCTCTGTACCTAAGCCTTACAGCTCAGGTTTACCGGCATCTCGTCGCCGCCTTACAAACTGTGTTAGTCTTTCGGCCAGCTACCTAGTTATCTGCGCTAGTACTAGTTGGTATGCTGTCTCTGTTCTGAGCTTGCCACAGCACAAGCTTCCTGCACGATCAAGCCTTGCATGGTGTCCACAGATGAGGCGGCAGTAGCAGAAACATAGTAGAGCGATAACAGCAAGAGCAGCGGCAGATTTGTGCGCGCACAACGGGCGGACTCACTCTGTAATTTTCTACGGATGAAACCTTCGCAGCTTCTCGTGCTATTACTGCTGCTGCTAACAATGCAAGCGATGGCATCGTCGCTGGCCCATGCTCTAGAACTCAACGGGCGGGGCGGGGGGCGAAATGGGGGCTTTGCCTCAGCCGTCAGTAAGCGCGAGTCAGGCATCAGCGAACATCGCCACTGGGTATTGTCATGTGGTTTCATGACGATAGGCGCCATGCGTAAATGTATACGTATTGTGTAAACCACTCTTCTTCAGCTAAGTGCCCGGAGAAGATAATTGTGTGTGCGCGATGCTGATAGAAACGGAATAATTGAATGAAGGTAGTTATATATGGATTTGTTAGAGACAAAGCGCGCCACGAATGGTCCGGGCTTACGTGTTTATACAAACAATCTATGGCCATTAACCAAACCGGACGTAGCTTCAGCCTACCACAGTTATAGCCAAATATGAATAGAAATGTGTCGCATTTGCGATGTAGCAGAGAAACTTCACCGGGAACGTGTGCATATAGAGATTTTTTCGTCCACTTTCGGGCCGGTCCGGTATGAAAAATTGAAACTGTACACAGGGACAATAAATGAAAATATGTACATACGTAGGCTACATATATACAAATGTGTACCGTAGACCGCTGGTGCCGTCAGACATACGCAAGCTAAATAAGTGGTACCGCATTTGCTACTTCTTACTCGATGACGCTGTTTGGCAAATCATTGCTGATATGATCGCTCGCTAACTATGAATGGAACCCATTCAAAAGTGCCTGCTTGTTTGATGACGAATACCTAGACGCTTCACTTTTCTGCATATAGGACAGATTAGTCCTGTTCATGGCAAGGCGCGATAGCGTTTTCGCTTGCTGTCCCGGATGGCTTACCTAAGAGCGACAACTGCGCCGATCGTATACACATATATATATATATACGCAACATAGCCACCACTCAATAGCAAAATAGGCCAGTCGCTACTTTTCAGGCGCGGCGGCTGAATTGCAATTACCACGTCACGATCCTCAACGACGACGACGACGACGACGACGTGTATTTATTACCAGCCGTTGTCTCGCTAGACAGTTTGACCTGCTCAAGTCTAAGACCGTCGTCTACGATAGATCAAGGTTGACCCAGAGCGTTTACTGCCAGTACGTTACCGACCGACTCATCAGCCGGCCGGTGAGCCAGCGGTACTCTTACTCGACTTTGCTGTCAACGATACGACGATGCAAACCGCTCTGCTGCTGTTGCTGTCGGAAGCTGAAAGGCGAAGCACCAACCAGTAAGACTGGTGGGCCGGCAGGTCCGCATCTTCCAACGAATGCGACGACGCTCAGCCGGCGAACCGAAGAGCCATCGGCTGGTACGAATTAGTAAGCAGGGGACGTTGTCGCCCAGACTCGTAACGCAGCAATAACAGCGAAAGGAGTCGCCGATCTACGATGTGTGTACAGATTCTGTTGCTGCTGCCGCTGCCGCCACGGTGGCTTCCCACTTCGCCACCTCGTCATCGTTTACATCGCGCGTTTTACTTCACTATTGAAGAGAACAACGATGGGACGGCCCGGCCCTTCCTCGCGCCCTTCAGCTGACAAGAAAAAGTCGATCAACAAAGTCGACACGGTTAAGCTATTACAGCGGTCTACGGATGCATGCGCTACTTGCATGCATCTGTCCGTGCAACCAGACACATTGTTTCGCTGCTTGTCGTTGACACGACCAGTAATTAGAAGCTAATAGAAAGTGAATATATGTTTTTGACGCGCCGCAAAAGACAAACTGAGTCTCTATCATTTCTAGCACAGTCACCTTAGGTGTTACAAGCGTTGACAGCACGAAGCGCGGTATCGTGCAAACGTTCCGGCTATGTATGTTCGACGTCTTTGCTTTACGTCTGCCTTAACAGATACTCTTAAGCCAAACCAAAAAATGGCAGTTTATTTACATGAATATTGCCATTAACGCATATTTATCTACACCTAGATCTCATATTCGGGCAACATCGAAACATTTACACGTTCAGGAGGCATGAAAATCTTTTTGTGAAGCCTTAAAAGCGTAAAGCACAAAGACTTACATCCTAAGATTCGTAGATTTCTATATGTCGCTAATAATGACTTCTCTTTGAACGTACGTTACATCAATGTGGGCACATGGCTGGGAACCAGCAAACATCGACAGCGTGTCCTTCAGCTGTTTAGCACAGGTTTATATATATATGTAAACGTAAATATTTTGAATGGCCGTACATGATCAGTAAAAATGATCGGTTGGAAAAGCTCACGAACCTGGCGAATGTCTATTTCTTGATTGTAAGTCTATTTTTCTCTTACCGTATTCGTCGCTATGGCATATATACATCAAAGGAGATAACAAACGATCAGCTTTATAGCAACGTTCATAGACACTTCGAACGAGAGGTAGTGTCTCGTATCTCGTATACCTTTTAAAATACCACGGAAGCTTCCTATTACGGTAAGTATTACCAAGGGGTTTATGGCATCAGTAATCTCCGCCAGTGCCATGTTTACGTCGTCCGTGATGGCCTTTCTCTCTATCGTTTTCCTTCTTCCAATAAACGCTAATAACGTATTGACCATCCCCGTCTGTTCTACCTCGTCCAATATAAACCCGGTGCGAACGACACCACGGCGTGCCAAGCAAGAAACTCTCTCGACCTCTATCGCAGTATCACCCTACCGGCCTCAACTATTACATATAACAGAGATACATTGACGCCTTATTAACAGTACCTCCAGCACTGTGCTAGAAATACTGCGACTCGTTTATAATCTGTCCATAGTCATATTAGCTTTTTATGGCTAGAGCTATCAACACCTGGATGATGTTGACCAACCTGAAAACCCCATTCCTATGTGGACGTATATTAGATCTTTAGGTAGTTGTTTTCGTCTTGCCGTTCGTTCGTACGTACAATTGTCCCGCCCTAAATTCCTGCGTACATTAGACGATTTCCTCTATCCGAGCTGTTCTATGTATCGTTTGCTTACACGATTAGTCATCTGTTCAATTGTACCGTTACTAACCTGGCCGGACGAGACATTATTGCTGCTCTGATGATGACTGCTGCTGTTGCTGGTATTCTGATGGCTACTGTTTGTGCCGTTGTTTGTGCTGGCGACGTGATGGTGATGGTGATGTCCATTGGCGGCGGCGGCGGCGGCGGCGGCGGCGGCAACAGAAGAATTATTTGCGTGGTGCTGTGCAGAAGCTGCCTTTAGCTGCTGAGCAAGCTGAAGGCCGTTGAGATCGCCGAGGCTCAATGCGCCGAGAAGCGCTTGCGCCTGGGCTTGCACTTGGGCACGCTGGGCTTGAGCTTGCGTGGAGTTCACTGCTGTCGCTGCTGCTGCTGCCGCCGCGGCGGCTGCAGCGGTTGCGGCAGCGGTCGTTGCTGCTGCACTGCTCTGATGTGACACTGGGGTTGGGGTGGTCGCTGTGGGAGGCGATCGGGGGGTAGTAGCTGGCAGCTGGCTTAGCTGCGTAGTCAGCTGCGTGAGCTGGTTCAGCTGAGACAGCTGGCTCGATAACTGGTTGGCGAGCTGTTGGGCGGCGGGGTTAGGGGCCGGGCGGCCCTGCCGGTGGTCCTGCGTCCGACAGCCGGCACATTCGCAGACGGGAGGGTGCACGGAGAGCACCCCTTTGGCCAGCAGCAGTTTCATCGACTTACCGCTATGTCGGATGGACCTCTTCCAGTCCTTGGCAGTTTCGCGTCCACTTACGTACTGGAACTCGTTCGGTGTTAGCCATGTACCTTTGAACAGTATGCACGGTCCCTTGGAACCCTGGCAGAGTCTGCCGAGGTAAAGGAGGCCCTTGTTGCCTCCACACTCCACTTCGAGGATCACTTCGCCGTCACGCTTCATAACGAGGACGTCGACGCCTGCCTTGCTAAATTGTTGATTAAAGGGGTTGACGGTTTGGCGGTAGGCGAGACGAAGCGTTACGGTTATTGCTGTTGCCCTTGTTGTTGTGATGGTTGCTACTGCTGGAGCAGTCGCCCCACGTTACTACTCTGTTCCTCTTGTTGCTGATATTGTATAACTCAGTTTATTTGTCAGTTATTTCTATGTTACGAATTTACACCTTCATACAGACACAAACGCGCGCCCACGCATGATATGGGTGTCGCGAGGGGCACACGTGACATACAACTACTACGATCGTTATTATTAATGTACTGTAAAAATACGACCAAGATGAAGCCTGACCAAATACTACAGTAGATGATGTACAAGCAAAGCGACAATAACGGAATGGCCGTTTGGTGAATCGCTACGCGTTCTTTATATTGATCTTGCTGTTGTCGCAACGGGTCGTCAGGCTCTCGAGACACGGAATAGCCTGCTAGAGCGATTTGGCCTCAAGGATAGCGATAAGGCCACGACGTATTTACTGGTTTTCGAGATATCTATAATAATGTGATAATAGCGATGGAATGATTTCTATTCGTGCTGCAGGTAATAAGTAAGTTTATGAACAAAAGTTATAGCAGCGGAAAGCAATTGATGTCGATATGGGTTTGTCTTCACTGCGAGGCAGACTTCGCAAAAGCAGGTGCCGTTTTCACTTGTGTTTTCTTTTGCTTACTTCTTCAGAATCGAGCTGAAATGATGTGACGAGGTACTGAAAGTGTCAATTAAACGGCGACAATATAAACGGTAATGATGGTGGCGAACACAGCGCGTTTTTTTAGCTGAATTTAAATTATTGCACATACATACACACACACACACTCATACAGATACAGTCAACTATATTTCAAATATTGAACGTACGTCCAACAAGTGCACAGTTTTACTGAGTTCGTGATTCACGTACAGATCGTGAACGTCGAGTTACCACAGCGAATTTGAAGCATTGGCTCACTACAGGAGTGGCTGTTGTGTATCAAAAGGAAAGTCACTCTTTGGCGTAGGTGGCGGACAGGTAGCGGTGAGGATGAACCAATGAGGGTAATTCACTGATACACTACAAATCTGCAATTCGAAAAGGAGAAAGATGGCTATTCGACTCCTGTATGCACGTGCGCCCGATACGTAGAAAAATATCAGTAGACCTTGAAGTTAGAGACGGCACGATTTTGTTCTAGTTATCTGCTCTCTACTCCTTTTCAATTTGTTCAATATGCCTTTCGTTTTCCCAATTCAAGTGACTTTTGTTCTAAGTTCCTGATGCAATCGGACGATATCGATGTAGCTGCTATCTTCGGCCGTTGTCACTGGCCAGGTTTCTAACACAATTCTGCTATTGTTCATTTTTAGGATAGGTCGCTAAGTTTCTACATGTTCGGGTCGTTACGAGGGCATGTTGCAATGATGATCGGTTTCGGCTGTAGATGCGATGATTCTCCTCTGAGTAGATATCATATCTTCGTGCGTCGTTCTAGTTGTTTTTGTTATTGTCGTCGTTAGAGAAGATAACATAACCTTTAGAAGAGATATTGACGTATTTTAGGGAGGCGACGCTTTACTCCAGATCGTCACCACTGCGCGTGTACGATGACCATGCTAAGTCTAAGGGTTGTAGTCGCCAAAGTCGAGCTTCGTTTTGTCGCTACTAATGCTAACGGTTAGTGAGTTTGTGATAGCCGGCACAAAATCTGCACCACCGTCAACAGATGACGACTCGAGCACGTGTCGTCACAAATAAATAGATTCTTCCTTTTTGTCGCTGTCCTCCGATATTTATCGGACTCGTTCTCTGTTTATCTGAGTCGCGGTGCCCACTGACAGTGTGCCTACAATTTGTATACCCACTCAGATAAACTACATCACATGTAGCCGAACCGATGCGTGAATACGACTGCTTAAGATGATCGTTCAGAATAGAAGAAACAACTTCCGGGACAGTTTGTTGGAGAATATTTGTATCGGTCCCTTAGTGCAAGCCGATGTCAGTCTACGCACTTACTACGCTCGCGTACTAATAACAACACATCATAATTGTTATATTTAACGATCACTGCAGTTGGGCCACCTCGACCATGTAGCGGCGGATGTGGTAAAACGCTCGAATCAAATGCACGAATCGGTGCCGTGAAAGCCTTACGGCACACCATCAATTGACGGTTAAGAGGACTGACCAACGCAAAGACACAAACGGACACGCAAAGCTGAAGAAATTCATTATGACGGGGTTCGTGCAAGAGTAACTGGCGTCGATGGCGGTGCCTATCGGTGAGTGGTTTCTGTGACGGCCGGTGTTTTTGTGGGTGGACTAGCGCGCTATGCCAATGACTGTATTAGTAGTCATCGTCTTCGAAGCTGCGAACGAACTCCACGCCCCGCGAAGAATCTTACGGCAAAGCGGAGCGGAGCGCGCAAGATGAAAAACAACGACGGAAAATCGTCATCGTCGCTATAATCTTCATTGTAGAAGACAAACAAGGGTTACGGCAACTGCAGCAACACGCACGCACGGACGCACGCAGGGATGCAGGCTGCGGGAGAGCAGACCACGCACCTCGCCCGCCGGAGCCGATCGCAAATATTTTCGAAGCTGCTCGGTACCCATGAGGCTGAGGGAGCTCGCGAGCTACCCGCCCGAAGTGGAGAGGAGGTTCGTAGCTGCTGCCGCGACCGCCACCGCGGCGAGCGCCACTCCGAGCGCACTCTCCCTCTTCGCGTCGCCTTTGCTCAACTCGGCGCGGGCCGTGCTCAGTGGCTGCGGCGGCAACGGCGGCGGCGCGGTCACCAGCAGGCAGCAGCAACGCGCAGCCTGTCTGCGCTCAGCCTACAGCTACTACTACGACTACTTCCACAGGCACAGCGCAAGCAAGCCATCTAGCCAGCCAGCATCGCTCTAGCTAACTCTCCACTCCGAGGGCGCTCGCTGCTGGTCAGGGTGGTCGTCCGCGGTCGGCCGCTGATCGGACGGTCGCCGCAGTCGGCCAACTCTTTGGCCAGTCGGTCGGAGACCGCCGGTCAGGCCGCACAGTGGTACTCAGCCTGTGCGGATCGCGCATACTGTGGTGTTCTAATCTGCTAAACTAGTAGAAGGACCACTAATCTAGGCCGCACAGGCCGGAGTGGACTAGGCAGATAAAGTATAGTCAGATAGTAGTAAGAAGGGCGATCAAGCGGCGGCCCTACCTAATTCGACTCTACTGCCGTCAGTTCAGCCGAGAAAGCCAGCATCATCGTATTAGTTCAGCGTTGCCGGTCAAGTCAGTAACAGACTTCGGTTAGTGCCGGGTCGAATCGACTAGTTTGACCGTGTTCCTGCCCAGTAGCTGCTTCCGGTATTTGTTGCGGCGTAAGCGTCATCAGTAGATGGACATAGCTAGTCATTTCTTCTCCGTTTCGCTGAATATAATGGCGAATTAGCTATCGCAAGGTTGACCTTGCACTCTGTCTGGGCTTTTGTCTGTCTCGCTGCCCGTTACCTCACCTAAAGCGAGTTCAGAGAGGAACGGCTATTGTGCTAACAGCACGCTGTTTCTACTGAGCCACACTAGACTAAGTATCAGTGCTCCTGTTAGATACCTCCTCGTATACGAGTCCTTCTCCGTTCCATTTATCTAGCATTATTCTGCCAATTTGTTCATACCTAACACGCTGAGGCAAACAAATCCGGGCGCTGCACGCGTTAGTCACCCATTGACGGACAACAGCGCGTAGTTAGAACACGACCGCAATCAGTCACATACGGACACGTGGGTCCAGTTATACGAACGCATATAGCGCGCGAATATGTCCAGCAGAGAAATCCTACCACGACAACCGCGCACCCATACATACACATGCACCACGCAGAGACAAACGGACGGATAGAAGCACAGATGAGGCCAGGCACAATTGGCTGTTTCGGGCGAGCGGGCCCCGTAATCATAAGCCCCACCCGCTGAGGCCGCCAGTGGCGGCGCGGAAGGCCGGCTGCAGCGAGTAACGCCAAGCCAATGCCGAGGGGCGGGAGTTTTTAAAGAGGAGGAGGGAACGCTCAGCGCCGCTGGAGCGAAGCTGGCGATCGAGTCGGCAGCTGCGAGCACGTGGGGCCCACGCGGCGAGGGCCCCACAGACGACAGAGAGACAGATGGACGAACGAAAGGCGAGAAAGGACTAGGCCCGCTGAGGGCTGTAATCTAGCTCTATGCTGAATACGAGCACTGCACATATAGTAGCTTGTACTAACTTCGAACACGAAGGCCTTTGGTGCTCCACAATCAGTGGCAAGACCAGGAAACGCGCTATACATAGACTCTGGTCTTCTGGCAACCTTCTTGCTCCTGGGGTTTCTTTTTACGTTGGAGGTTCTGTGGAGAAAAACGAAAGTGACAACGGAAAATGCTATCCACATACGATTAGTCATCCTGCTAGAGTTTTTTCAGCATCGTTCCCCTGCTGCCATTTTCAAATTTACAATTAGCCTTGCTCATGCCCTGGTTAGTTATCTCGATCTCCACTGCCCATTGGGTAACAACAAAAAGACGTGTTGATACAATGGAATGGCTGATGCAGGCAGTGATTACTCGCAGAAAGTGATGTCTAAATAGTTGAACAATGTCTCGCTTCGCCCGTCTGTTATCACCTAAAATAGACGGGCGTCTCTTTATGGAAGATGTATATTTTTCGAATTTACGAATGAGAATCGAGTGAATGTTGCTGATCGACGTATGGCTCTCTGTGCATATGACCTGAGCACTACCTAATATTATTCAGCTACTTTTTTCGCTGGGATCTCTGAAGGGCAAAGTGAAACCCTCTGAGCATGCAAGCAAAGTGAAACTGAGCGCACCCCTTTCGCTAGTTTTATACACAGCTCCCGCTAATCCGCTGCACTGATCCTCTGTCCTATTTTTCTATTGATAGCGCGCTGTTTTAGTCATTAATTTGCCGTGAAGATTTGGTCTATTCAGAATAAAAGGGCGCTTTTCATCTTTTGCTGGACAGCAGCCAGTGCCACTTATGATTACGCCAGGTCAAACTCGTCGCATTTTAGCCATAAATGTTTTAACATGACTCTGAACCATTCGCATCTACGAATACCGCTTTGGTGATATCTGTTGGCCGGAATCTGCGTCGTATTGTTAGCGTGGCCGCGTAAAGTAGACGTTCGTGACTGGCGAACGAACTCCCGTATTCCCATTTCTTATTTGTTCACTGGTTCAGAAAAGGTACGCTCTATGCGACAAGATAACTTCCGATATGGACTAAATTACGTTACAGCTGCTTTTCGGGCCATCCAGCGGAACGTACAATGCTTCGCGTAGTCTGTAGCGTAGCCTTTTGCTTTAATTTCCTCTTAGGGGATCAAATACTGAGGTTTTTGTGCAGCACGCATCAGGTAGTTCCGTACGACAGATCCGACCGTTGCGATACTGAAGTGTTTAAATTCTCTAATATGAGCTCAGATACTGCAATAATGAGTTCCTTTGTGCCGAACTTTCGTGAGTGTTCATGTTTAAACCTAGTTTGAAACCTTTTAAGAAAACGGTGTAAGGACGTCCTGGGAAGTACACCATATCAGCCGTACATGGTACCGTCATTGTCATTGTGCTTTGGAATAATTATTTTCAAACAGAAGTTCGCTGAGCTAAGCGTTCCGACTCAGATTCATGGGAAATCGTCTTCTCTGCTAGGTCTTATGGGCAGCATTTCATCTGTATTGGCAATATGGCTGTATGAGAGAAATATCAGATAGTTTGATGTTTATGATGAAGGTGAAGTGTGCTAGGCAACCTCACGTATATACGTCCTAAGGATGACTGGATTATTGAGAAATAGTATAGTACCATAGAGTGACTATCTGTGTCGTTATTAGCAACGGTGCTAGTATTCCTGCGTCTCTTACCTCGTGGCACTAACAACTGCTGCACCCCTATCGTGATTCAGAGACAGAAATTGTTACTTTTAAAAATAATCAGAAATTTACCGTCAGCTTAACTAGTGTGGCGAACTAGAGGGTGTTGTCCAAGCTTTGCAAAAAAGTGTGGACTTGATCAGGGTGATTAGGCTTGAATCAGCTCAATCGCACCTAACATCGTACTGCATTACGCGACGTTGAGGCTCTCCCTGCTATCCTTTCTGCTGTTCTCGTTAAACGCTTCGAAATCGCCCAATACGCTTGCTTGAATCTTAGATAGATCTTCAAGATCTTTTGGTCTGCGACACCCTAATCCAGGCTAAACCTATAGCTCAGATGAAGATGTAGGTTGCAATATTATTGTGGACGAAAGATTGCATCACTTGTGACTAGAAGGCCCTGGCACTCCCAGATCGACAAAAGAATGCTTTAGAGATGTCAGTTCCTGATAACTAGCTCACTACCTAGCTCTGTTGATACTGGTGACTGCGAATACAACAAAACCCTATTTGCCCTATAAGCATCAAGCATACTTACCGAAGCCGAGTGGGTCTCTTTAAACGAAAGACAAACATGTATTCAATTTACTATATCGTGCAATTGTGCTTATATTTTTGTGCGACAGGGGGTGTGCAGCGAGCGAAATCTATCAACAATCGTTCAAATGCTTTCCGAGGCTGCGATGAGAGCGCAAAACTGATGGAGTTCGCTCTGGGTCAGTGAAGTCTGAGGAGCACGTTTTCGCGGTTGGACATTTCTGGCTTAATTTACTAAGGAAGTGCTAAAGAACATTAGAAACATTCCGCAATCACTGAATTCTTTGTAATCTTTGTAGAAATAGGATGAAACAGTAACGTACATAAATGTTAAACCGCGTATCTTACTTGGTCGAATTTAATCGCGTTCCTGCTTACGTACTGATCGTAAGATTGTCGGTAGCGACTACAAAGCATGAGTAAAAAACATGTTTTTTACTAATCGCTAACGTCACAATCGAGAAGTTTCCTTATCTGTATTTGTTGAACAGGCGACCTCTCACGTGCTCATCAGTAGCTTGATATTATTCAAGCTTCTCTATGAAACGGTTTATTGGAAGTCCATACGAGCGTTCCGATGACTGATGCGTGTCACCCTCGTGCATTATGCTACTCGTCCTTCCTGGCCTTTCTCAAACAGATTGAATTGCTTTTTTGTTAAATGCAATTCAGATTTTCGATATCGATGCCAGATATAATAAAATTCTCCCTTCCGTACCCGTTTTTCAACACTTACGTGCCTGCAACGTTGACCTAATTCAACATATATCCCAGTAAGTCAAGTTACGCGCAGCACTCGTAAACGTAATAATTAGATATGTCATAGTAATAACGAGGAGTATCCATGATCGTTTATGGTAGATCATTTTTTTATTTCACGTTTATATAGTGATCCCTGGTGGGAAATGACATCCTGTCAAGCACAGGTTTATGCTTAAAGCTGTGCAAAAATTAGATTAAATTATATTAAAGATTTCCCTCTATCCGTCGGATAGCACTTCCAGCTACCGCCTTGACCAACACAGGCCAAATTATAGGTCAAACACGTTGCTTAAACTTATTTGTCTCATGGGGTTATTGAGCAT